CCACACTTCACATGAGGGCTTCGAAGTGCACCTCGTCTGGCACAAGCGCTGTGGTGAGCTTACAGATATTTAGTGGCGAATGGCGGCTGTTGTTAAGTGTGTGTGTATAAGCACGCACGTGTGATCAGGTCAGCGTGTGTCTGTGTGTGTATACGTGAGCGTGCATCAATATGTATATGTGTGTACGTGTCTGTGTGTACAAATACGAACGTGCAGATGTTCGCGTATATATATATGTATACGGACGTAATAAACACTTCTTTTAAAACTACTTTTATAAAAATCATTAACAAAAAATACTCAGATCGAACGTCTCTGTCTTTAAACTACGGAAGTTAAATTTGTCCAAGTCCATCCCACTGTGACCCAATCGCATCCTAACCCCCCCCCCCCCCCGTAGACCCCATCCCGGGATTAATTGACGCGGCGACATAATTTTTTCTTCCCGAAATATTCCTCCAACAAGAAGGGCGACGTGCGGGTCGGGGTGGTGGCGGTGGTGGTGGTGCACTCCAGAAAACATCCCCTGAGGTCTACGGCGAACAGACGCGCAGCCTCCAACCCCTGTACTCAAACACGTGGAAATTCCACATTCCCACGGCGAGGCTCAGACGCTACATCAGACTAGACGACCATCGTTGTCCACGTCCGGGTTAGTCAACGACCGAATTCACGGGGCGCCACGGTGGCTATGAGATGTTAACTACCTCGCCTGGTGTGCAGGAGGTTGTGGGTTCGATCCCGACCCTGACGCCTGCTGCTGTGTATTTAGAGTTTGCGGTATCTCTCTCTCTCCCCGTGGTCGCGTGGATTTTTCTCCGAATCCTCCGGTTTTCCCTCCCCATTAAGACTCACCATCACGCGCTAAGAGTATGTTGACTGCTCTAAATGCTCGCACGTTGATGAGCCGCTTCGTTGAGCGGCCATTCGTCATGGGCAGGTCGCTGCTGAGAAAGAGCCACAGGGCCCCGTGGGCCTTGCGTTTGTGAAATGAAAATTGTTGCAAATAAAACAAAGATTGCGTCTCGTGCTCTCGACCGTGGTGCCATCTGACCGGTTCGCGATACAAATCATCATCGTTATCATTGTCACACTGAAATTAAATAACATCCAGCCGAATAGCAATGCCAAGTGACGTCACCCGGCTGGCTAGTATTAATAATGAGAGCGGAATCCGGTCGGATGGTAACACCGTGTTACCCGGAGTGTAAGATGATGCCCCCCAGGAGAAGTTGCACGCATCCTGACAAGAGGTTTCTGTTTGGCGTCGGAGATCTTAAGACGCGCTGTTTTATTATCAGAAAAGGGGTAACCCCCCCCTTATTATTATTCTTATTGTTGAAAACTCGCACGCATCTGTTGACGCACGCACAGGCGCACCGACCGCATTACGAGAGGAACCCAGAGGGAGCCTTGCTTCTAAAACTTAACACAGAGAGGGGGGGGGGGGGGGGAGAAAGGCGCGTCTCAGTGTCTCGCGTCTCGCGTCTTGCGATGCAGAGAACGCCGGCTGGGTGTGCAAGATCATCGTCACGCGGCGATGATATTGTACACGTGTGTGTACGTGTGTGCGTGCGTGTGTGTGCGTGTGTGTGTGCGTGTGTGTGCGTGTGTGTGTGTGTGTGTGCGTGTGTGCGTGTGTGTGTGTGCGTGTGTGTGTAGGTGTGCGTGTGTGCGTGTGTACGTGTGTGCGTGTGTGTGTGTAGGTGTGTGTATGTGCGTGTGTGTGCGTGTGTGTGTAGGTGTGTGTGTGCGTGTGTGCGTGTGTGTGCTCCCTTCTCTACGCTTGCGAAACGTGGACCCCCCTAATGGAGCGTCTTCGCCGGTTGGAAACATTTAGGCTGGTCTGTCTACGATCCATTCTGGGTTTAACCAGGCTGGATTGTGTGAGGAGCTCATAAATCCTTGAAAGATATGGGCAAAGTCCCATCGGTGAGCTCCTCCGGCAGGCAAGGCTGCGTTGGTTGGGTCATGTAGCCCGCATGCCCGGCGCGAATTGGCGCAGTGGACGGCAACTCGAGCTGGGACACTCACTGCAGGTGTTCGCGTGGCGCACTCCGCTGACGCCGAAGCAATCGGAAGGCGTGGGCCAGGCACTCATCCAGCAGTGGATTGGGCACGGCTGATGATGACGATGTACCGCATGTGCGCACGTGTGAACGTACCTATGTGTTTGTGAATGGGTGTGTGTGTGTGTATACCGTTCGTTGTGTAGCGCATTGTATCTGTGTGTATGTGTGGGCGTGGGGAGCGGTAGTGCAGCGGTTAGCGCGCTGCGCTACGAACCCGCCAACCCGAGTTCGATGCCCGTTCATGATCCAACACCGGTGACGACTATCTGACCCGGTCCTGGGCCTCCGCTAGGTCGACTCAGCCTCAAATTAGTACCTGGCGCGGTGTGTAAACATCGCCACTAGGAAGACAAATGCGGTCGGGCGTGGTGCTGGCCACCCACCCCCTCGTGTACCGTTACGGCCTTCATATGTGCCCGTTAACAGCACTTGCCCCAACAGTTTGTTCCAGGCTACGCGGGGGATCTTTGGCTTTGTCCCAGCGTGAGTCATCCCGTGAATTCCATAAATCGTCTTTTTTGGGTGGGTGGGGGGTAGATTAGGCGACTTCGTACCGATCTGACCAAACTTCTGTGGCGAGTTCCTCCGCCACCCGCCGGAGTGCAGCTGCAGCGAGCCGTGGCCTGTGCTGGTCGCCTCGTTGTCGTCTCTCGCGCCGCCTGAGCTGAGGGTTGAGGGTTGAGTGTCACGCACGAGTCGCCCGCGCGGCCACGAGTTGCTGGCGGGACCCGTTTTAGTTTCACCACGTCTGCCTCCTCGACCCCCCCTCCCCCCCACCACCACCCCGGGGCTCGCACGATGAGAGAGCCGGCGCCGTGTCGGGTGGTGGGGGGTACGGCCACACACAAACACATTTTAATGACGAGCCCGTGATCCTGGCTTGCGAAATCCACCGTCGCGTTGTGCGCGCAATTGTGTATGCACGCGTGTGTGAGTGTGTGAGTAAGTGTGTGTAAGTGTGTGTGTGTAAGTGTGTGTGAGTGTGTGTGTAAGTGTGTGTGTGAGTGTGTAAGTGTGTGTGTCAGTGTGTGTGTGTGTGTAAATGCGTGTGTAAGTGCATGTGTAAGTGTGTGTAAGTGTGTGTGTGTAAGTGTGCGTGTGTAAGTGTGTGTGTGTGTGAGTGTGTGTGTAAGTGTGTGTGTGTAAGTGCGTGTGTAAGTGCATGTGTAAGTGTGTGTGTAAGTGTGTAAGTATGTGTAAGTGTGTGTGTGTAAGTGTGTAAGTGCGTGTGTAAGTATGTATAAGTGTGTGTGTGTGTAAGTGTGTGTGTGTGTAAGTGTGTAAGTGTGTGTAAGTGTGTGTAATTGGTTACGTTGATGTTGTGTAAACACTGAAAGTATGCCCTTCATAATGAAAGTGTAATAATCACAATGATGTTATAATTGATCCATTAGTCAGGCCACGTGATGGGCTGATCTATAATTACGATGATGACGCTGTAATTATAATGCGCAACTCTTTGTCAATCCACTGCCTCGCTCCATGTCGGCCACAAGAGCTGTTTGACCATACTTCACCAGCGTGGTCGGTGCGAGTTGGTGGAGGAAGAGAGGGGGTTTAACCGATACTCGTTCATGTGTCACTCGCCACTGATGTCAGCCGTGCCCGGGGGATCGAACTCCGGTGCCAGGGTTCATAGCGCAGCGCGCTAACCACTGCGCCACCGCTCCACAATGATGTGTTTCTCTGCAGTGAGTGCGTGTTGTGTGTGTGGATGTCTGTGTGTACACCACGACACAATGATGTGTGTCTCTGCAGTGAGTGCGTGTTGTGTGTGTGGTTGTCTGGGTGTACACCACGACACAAGGATGTGTGTCTCTGTAGTGAGTGCGTGTTGTGTGTGTGGATGTCTGGGTGTATACCACGACACAATGTTGTGTGTCTCTGCAGTGAGTGCGTGTTGTGTGTGGTTGTCTGGATGTACACCACGACACAATGTTGTGTGTCTCTGCAGTGAGTGCGTGTTGTGTGTGTGGATGTCTGGGTGTATACCACGACACAATGATGTGTGTCTCTGCATTGAGTGTGTGTTGTGTGTGTGGATGTCTCGGTGTGCAGCGTAACACGAACCTGGTGACCCGAGTTCGATTCCCGCTCACGGCCAACACCAGTGACGGATTATATGAACCGGTCCTGGACCCCCCCCCCCCCCAGGTCGTCTCAGCCTCAAATGAATACCTCGTGTGATGTGTAAAACATCGCCACAAAAGTGAGACAAAGGCGGCCGGGCGTGGGGCTGGCCACCCACTCCATCGAGCGCTGTGCCGGCCTTCATAGGGCCTCGCTAACAGCACTTGCCCCAACAGTCTGGTAAAGGCTATACGGGGGATCTTTGACTTTGCATGTATATATATGTGTGCGCGCGTGCCCGCACACACACATATATATAAACATTTGTATATTATGTATTTTGTCTACTTATGTATACATTGAACGGTGTGTGCGTGAGTGTGTGTGTGAGTGTGTATGTGTGTATGTGAGTGTGTGTGTGAGTGTGTGAGTGTGTGTGTGTGAGTGTGTGTGAGTGTGTGTGAGTGTGTGTGTGAGTGTGTGTGAGTGTGTGTGTGAGTGTGTGAGTGTGTGTGAGTGTGTGTGAGTGTGTGTGTGAGTGTGTATGTGAGTGTGTGTGTGAGTGTGTGTGTGAGTGTGTGTGTGAGTGTGTGAGTGTGTGTGAGTGTGTGTGTGAGTGTGTGTGTGTGTGCATGGTGCGCGCGTGTGTGTGTGTGAGTGTGTATGTGAGTGTGAGTGTGTGTGTGAGTGTGTGTGTGAGTGTGTGTGTGAGTGAGTGAGTGTGTGTGAGTGTGTGTGTGAGTGTGTGAGTGTGTGTGTGAGTGTGTGTGTGAGTGAGTGTGAGTGTGTGAGTGTGTGTGTGTGTGCATGGTGCGCGTGTGGGTACCGAAGGCAAGTCACCATCATGCAGGTATCGTGTTGACGTGTCGAGATCGGCTTTATTCCATGGCTTCGTTACAGCGCGCTTACATCCTCTGCCCGGTAAACACAGCGTTAGTTCCCCACAAGATATAGGTACCGTACCAAAGATCGTATTTACAATATCATATATATGTATATATATATACGCCTATGGACTTTACACGTACCAGAATATATACACACACACATTTACAAGCAATTTATATATATAACAAATACACGTGTATATACACGTGCACACTCGATGTAGCACGTATGGGTGTGTAAATACGCGTGTGTGGTGGTGGGAGTATGCTGTTTTTCAGTTTTTTGTTTTTATATAAACAAATACGTAGAATAAATCAACACTCGCGTGCAGTCATCACTTCGTGTGCTTGTTTGAGTTGGAAGTCGGCTACGTTTGTTTTTCTGGAGGAGGGAGAAATCTCGAAATTCAGACATCGAATGCGACACACGTGGACACACAGACAAAATAAAACAAAGACAGAGATAGCCTTCACAGACTTTTGGGGCAAGTGTTGTTAAAATGCCGTCCGCGAGGATCGCACGCTTGGGGAAGGCATTAGTCCAGCAGTAGATTGACCATGGCCGGTGATGATGATCATGATGAGTTAGACACGTGTCTCGAGACGTGAATTCGCTAAATGTTCGCTGGAATTTCGACAATGGTGAATTGCGCGTCCTGCGCGTACCGCGTTCAACACAAACAGCTGATCGTGTGTGGCGCACCTGTGTGTGTGTGTGTCTGTGTGTGTGGCGCACCTGTGTCTGTGTGTGTGTGTGCGGCATGTGTATATGTATGGCAATGTCCCGTCAACGCACACACACACACACAGACACACACACACAGACACACACACACATGTTCACATGTTCACTGTTGCTGCGATGAGCATCAACTTCACATGTTATGGCTCGTTACAAACAACATTTGTACCACGTGATGAACATGTAATGTGATTACGATCTTTTATTTTTCCTCCGGAACGGTGGCGCAGTGTTTAGCGAACGACGCTCCGAAACCTTAGGGCCTGAGTTCAATTCCCAGCCACAGTGAATTGAATCTGACACGAGACATCAGAGGCGAATACTATCAGAACTGCTCCCTGTGCCTCGCCCATTCACGACGACGAAGTGACCCGCGCGGTGCAACATCCAGCAGTGGGTTGCCAAGGCGCCGCCGTGCACGAGTATATTAACGTTTCACTTGAGCGTGAACAATCCTTGAAGTTGTAACGTCGGCAATTATTTGCGTGATCGTCTTAGCGGCGTCAGTGGCTGAGACGGCTCGTTCGGACTGCGCGCCTGTTGAGAGGCGAAGCCACCGCCGCAGTTTCGAGTTGGCAGATCTCACGCACAACGCCGGTGCTCGGGCAATCAGCCCAACCACAAATGGAAGCTCGGCCAAGAGACAGCTGATCATCGTCATCATCTTCATCATCACGTGGAAATGTATCGCAGTCAAAATTCTCGAAGCGCGTGATGTCGATTCTAAAATGTGGGCCCGGTAAATAAAAAAAAAACCGGAGGAAAATTCAAACTCCAAATATCGGGTCGGGATCGAACCTACGCGCTCGAGGGAGTTGACATCTCTTCGACAGCGCGGCGCCCGAAACGACCAATCTGTCGACACGACATCGCGATCATCGCTCGGCGGAACGTGACGGAATGCGCGCGCACACACACACACACGTGTAGAGCACTCCACACACGTGTAGAACAATCCACACACGTGTAGATCAATCCACACGCGTGTAGAACAATCCACACACACACACGTGTAGAGCACTCCACACACGTGTAGAACAATCCACACACGTGTAGACCAATCCACACGCGTGTAGAACAATCCACACACACACACGTGTAGAGCACTCCACACACGTGTAGAACAATCCACACACGTGTAGATCAATCCACACGCGTGTAGAACAATCCACACACACACACGTGTAGAGCACTCCACACACGTGTAGAACAATCCACACACGTGTAGACCAATCCACACGCGTGTAGAACAATCCACACACACACACGTGTAGAGCACTCCACACACGTGTAGAACAATTCACACACACGTGTAGAACAATCCACACACGTGTAGAGCACTCCACACACGCGCGCGTGTGTATATGTGTATATATGTAGACGCGCAAATACAAAAATGCCCCGTGCAGCCTTTAACGGGCTTGCTGGTTGGCGAAGTTCTGTTAGCGGCTACATTGGCACACGAGGGGGCGGGTGACCAACAACCACACCCGGCCGCCTTTGTCTTCCCCACAGTGCTTGCTCGCCGTAAGGCCGAGTCAACCTAGGGAAGAGCCCAGCACCGGTTCGCACATTCGCCACTGTTATTCCTCCGTGAGCTGGAATGGAACTCGTGGGGGCCGGGTTCGTTGCGCGGTGCGCTAACCACTACCGCCCCTCACCATACAACTCGCGTGTTCACACGCGCACACAGGTACACAGGCGATGGCAATTCATAAGCAGTTTGCCTTGTGTTGTTACATCGTGCAAGTTTAATGTCAACGTTGAACTACAGCCCTTCACTCGACACTCGACAGGGCCGGCACAGATCCAAGCGAGTCGGGCGAGAGCCGAACTCCTGTTAAACACACCCGACGATGCTGGCTGAAGTCTCCAGCGAAACGTCGGACAAGAGTTGTGAAAACATTGTTGTTGTTGTTGTTGCTGGGGCTTATGCGACATCGCCGGTCCGTGGAACTGACGGAAGGCGCCAATCGGTGCGGGTGAATGCGTGTGTGTCACATGGCGTGACAACACGTATGTGTGTCACACGTGTGTGTGTGTGTGTCACACGGCGTGACAACACGTGTCTGTGTGTGTGTCACACGGCGTGACACACACGTGTGTGTGTGTGTCACACGGCATGACCACACGTGTCTATGTGTGTGTCACACGTGTGTGTGTGTCACACGGCGTGACCACACGTGTCTATGTGTGTGTCACACGTGTGTGTGTGTGTCACACGGCGTGACCACACGTGTCTATGTGTGTGTCACACGTGTGTGTGTGTGTCACATGGCGTGACCACACGTGTCTATGTGTGTGTCACACGTGTGTATGTGTGTGTGTCACACGTGTGTGTGTGTGTGTCACACGTGTGTGTGTGTGTGTCACACGGCGTGACCACACGTGTCTATGTGTGTGTCACACGTGTGTGTGTGTGAGTGCCACACGTGTGTGTGTGTGTCACACGTGTGTGTGTGTGTGTGTCACACGGCGTGACCACACGTGTGTGTGTGTGTCACACGTGTGTGTGTGTGAGTGCCACACGGCGTGACCACACGTGTCTGTGTGTGTGTCACACGTGTCTATGTGTGTGTCACACGTGTGTGTGTGTCACACGTGTGTGTGTGTGTCACACGTGTGTGTTTCACACGTGTGTGTGTGTGCCACACGTGTGTGTGTGAGTGCCACACGTGTGTGTGTGTGAGTGCCACACGTGTGTGTGTGTGTCACACGTGTGTGTGTGTGTGTCACACGTGTGTGTGTTGAGTGTCACACGGCCGTGAGTCGGGCGATGGGAGGCCTCGAAGTGCACCTAGCCTGGCACAGGCGCCGTGGCGACTGTCGGCTGTTGGTATTGGAGGACTGTAGTGATCATTTCCAGGCGACAAGCCACTTCGATCAGCGATCATTTGTGGCACAGGTCGCCTCTGAACAAGAAGAAGCGAATCGCTCAGTAGGCTTTAGCAGGTAAACATTTTTTTAAAAGTCGAGTTGTACGTTTGTGTACGCTTCCTACACTTTGCACTCGTATCGTGCTGCTGTCGTCTTTGTTGTTGTCACGTCCTGACCTGACCCTACTGGACGTCTGTGACGAGGAGCTTTATAGCTCTTCGGATTCCTCCTCCAGTATAAATATAAATTCTGAACACTTTGACATTATGCACACTACGCACGAGGAACAGCGGCAAAATGCAAACTGATCACGAATCGTGATAAGCGGTCGTGACGGCCTGCAAATATATCAAAAGCACGCGTGGTGTCGAACACACGCGCGACATTCATCACGGCGACGAGACGGAGCTGCGTCAGTCGAATGTTTAATGCGACAGCTCGCGACGCGACGCACGTGGAGGAAGCTACAGCGCTGCCGTGTCGATATCACATCCACAGCCTGTGCGCACCAGCGCGTGTGCGCGTACACGTGTCTGTGTGTGTGTGTGTACACGTGTCTGTGTGTGTGCGTGTACACGTGTGTGTGTGTGAGACTGTGTGTGTGTGACTGTGTGTGTGACTGTGTGTGTGTGTGTACACGTAACTGTGTGTGCGCGTACACGTGTCTGTGTGTGTGTACACGTGTCTGTGTGTGTGTGCGTGTACACGTGTGTGTGTGAGACTGTGTGTGTGTGACTGTGTGTGTGTGTGTGTGACTGTGTGTGTGTGTGTACACGTAACTGTGTGTGTGTGTACACGTGTCTGTGTGTACACACACACACACGCATGCGCTGACGCATGAACAGCAATATACTTCTACGCGTGAGTGTACACGTGCGTTTCGAGATATTCCTCCAGTCAGAAGCAGTTATATATTTGGCTTTAATCTTAATTATCTGCAAAAGTTTCGTGGAAGGATGTGTTACAAACGTAATCGTGGGGTTGTTTTTATCCCGAATGTCACGCGTTGATTTCGTGTCGATTCGCAACGGAACGCAGAGGACGACGGAATGCGTGACGCTGAATTTTACGATTACACACAGACAAAGATCCCCCGTGTAGCCTCCAACAGACTGTTGGGGCAAGTGCTGCTAGCGAGTATCAGCACCTATGAAGGCCGGCACGACACACGAGGAGGATGCGGTGTGGCCAGATAATTACGCCCGGCCGCCTTTGTCTCCCCGACTGGCGACGCTTACACACCGCACCAGGGTACTCATTTAAGACTGAGTCGACCTACGGGAGGCCCAGCACACGCACACACGCACGCCGTGCAAAACAAACATCGTATATAGTACAGAAAAATACATGACACGTATGAAAGACATGTGTGCGCGGCGTCTCTTACACACGACATCTGCTCGCGGAGTAAGGGTTTTTGATTGACACAAACGATCAACAACAACAACATTGTTTACGCTCCCAGCCGGACGGACGAACAATTAGCGCCGACTATTTGTTTACAGCAATCGGTATAGTTTCAGTTATAATCTTTAAAACACGTGTTATTGTTTTCTTTAGCGTCATCAGCATGAATTATATTATAGTACAATAATTGTGTTTATTCACTAATATTCGCTAAGTCCGCAGTTTAATTCCGTATGTACATCTGTACAACGCACGAGAGACGTCACGCAACACCGCAGCAGCAAGTGGCGGTGACCTCACCACGGCGCTCGTGCCATGCTAGGTGCACACACAGACGCACACACACACACACACGCGCACACACGCACACACACACACGCGCACACACGCACACACACGCAAACACACGCACGCCCGTGGTGGCCGTGACGACGTCTTAACTTTCGAGTTATCAAGCTGTAGGGCGCGAAAGAAGTTCAACACAGACGCGCGCAGACACGAGGGCCTGGCACCCACGGCTCTCTCGCTCTGCCTCGGGGTCCCCACGGGCAGAGCCCCCGGGGGCTCCTGCGGCTCAAGTCCGACGCTGCTCCCGCATCGCGGAACCGCGAGAATGATGATGAAGATGATGATGGAGGCGGACGAAGATTTAACAAGAAAAAATACGTTCGCAAGCTAATGAGAAGTTACGTTTGCATTATTTTATAACAAATATAACCGCGGCAGCTTCAAGTCAAAGTTTCAAGTCAACGTTGATTCAAGAACAGTGGAACATCGTGAAATAACGATGGTGGGTAGTGATGATGATGATCATGGTGGTGGCGATGGTGGTGATTGATGATGACGATTATGGTGATGGTGTTGATGGTGGTGATGATGATGACGATGGTGGTGATGGTGGTGGCGATGGTGGTAATAGAGGAAGAGCGAGGAAGTGAGATGGCGAGTGACAGAGGGGTGACAGGGTGGTGACAAGGGTGGTGAGACAAGGGTGGTGACAAGGGTGGTACAAACTACAACCGAGTTCAACGCCACCCGCACCGCCGTCGTCACGGTTGCAGCCGCAGGAGGAGCTCGCCAGCCAGACAGAGGTCGCCTCGACCCATCATCACGGCGGGGTGGTATAAAACGAGCACCACGCTGCGGGAAGTCTAAACGCGGCCGTGAGATTTCGCGAGAGACAAAAAAATCACGACCCTCCGTAACCCCAACCTCCAGGCCACGCGAATGTGGAATTTCCACGAGGGGGGGAGTGGAATGTGAGGGCCACCGCGAGAAATGGATTTGTGCCGAGTGAGTCTCGCATGGCCAGAGGGACTCCGAGAACGACCCCTCGGACTCTTCGCTCGGCGTCCCATCGCCGAGCCGCTGCCGGACGAAGGCGTCTCGACGCCTGGCCGGGTTCACGGCGAGAGCCCCAGACCTCACTAGCACCTGCATTGACCAGACCTCACTACCACTTGGCATTGACCAGACCTCACTACCACTTGGCATTGACCAGACCTCACTACCACCTGCATTGACCAGACCTCACTACCACCTGGCATTGACCAGACCTCACTACCACCTGGCATTGACCAGACCTCACTACCACCTGGCATTGACCAGACCTCACTACCGCAGGTCACTGCCGGCCGGGTGAGCGCGGGGAGTCGGAGGCATCGCCCGGGATCGGTTCGGATATCGCTCCCCGCTGATCTCAGCCGTTTCTAAGGAATCGAACTCAAGTCGCGTGCTTCGCAGCAGCAGTGGCGCTAATCGCTGCGCCACCGCTCCCCCCTCTATTTGTAGTAATAATAATAGTAGTTATGTCCGGTAAAGGGAAGAATGTGACAACTTAACGACGTAGGATATGCTTGCGGAAGCGCACATTCAGCAGTGGATTGATCATGGCTGATGACGACAAAACAATGCTCTCGAAACTTTAAAGAGCAAATGAATATCAGCATTCCAACAGAAAATGGGTGATTATGATGGTGGTGATGATGGTGATGTTGATGGTGATGATGATGATGGTGATGATGATGATAAAACCGACGGATATTCTAGAGACGATTATGCTCGCGATGATGACCGAGACATTGATGACGATGATGATTAGGAAGACATTTGGAAACACAAATCACGTTGAATCGACTCAGAGTACCGAACTACCAACACGCATTGCTCCAACAACAACAATACGACTAATACCCATCATCATTATGACAGTCGAAGATGAAAGTTATTAAGAGCCTCGCAAACTTAGCCACAATCTCCCTTTGAATAATTAAAACGCGTTCGTTATAGCGATGAGACGGTGAAGAAGTAGAGTTAAACGATGATGATGAACGCGTTTTGGTGTTGTTTTTACTGCAGCGCTAAACCCATTAATTCCTTAACATAATTGTAAGAGTCGTTGCTCGATTCCCCGCACGATGAGACCCTTCGGACAGTAAGACGCATCCCATTAATTGTACGTTTCCGGTAACCCGCAAACACCTCTCGGATTATAAGACGCACCTCAAACGCTTTCAAACACAGGGGGCGGAGAGCGTCACGTCCCACCGTGCGGGGAGTGCAGTAACTATTGACGCGATTCCTCTTCATGTTTGGGGTGAAGTATGGCGAATCGGTGTGGTGGGGGAGGGGGGGCGAGGAGGGGGGGGGGGCATCATCCAGCAGTGGATTGGCAAGGAGCAGCGTGCGCGTTGCTGAGACGCAGAGAGAGAGGAGAGCCGAGACGAGCACGCGGGCTGAGCAAACTCCTCCACACTTGGAGACAAGTCGACACGAGACGCACGCGTGACACTCGCGCGCGCTCACCCCCTGCTCTTAAAGTGCTTCACCCCGTCGAGCCGGGCTCACCGACACGCCTCGACACACCGCACCGCTCACCCATCGCCACCACCGCGCTCTCAGCTCACTTGGGCCACAGTTCGACTCCAGTTCGCTCGCGAGACGTCCATCACCTCCCCTCCTCTTGAGTTCCTTCCTTTGCGAAAGGGCCGGACGGATTTCCACCACCACCATCACCACCACCACCATCACCACCACCATCATCATCATCACGATCATCAACAACATCCGACCATGCAGCCCGCTCACTTCCTCACAGACATTCCCCCGCTAAGGCGTCCGCCGCGACGGACGGACGGACGGGCGGCTCAGAGCGCGGCACCGTGATGACTCGCGTAGGGCTCCAGTCCAGCCTTGGCCATGCCGGGCAGGAGGATGTAGGCCAGCGGCGGCTGCAGGCCCGAGCTGGGCGGCCACGCCGGGCACGAGCAGGGGATCATGTAGCCGGGGTTCCCGGGCGAGGCGTGCGTGTGCGTGTGCTGCGGGCTGAAGGCGCCGGCGCCGTAGCCGTTGAGACCCGCGTACGGGAACGCGGCGGCCGCCGCGGCCGCGGCCGCCGCTCCCAGCGACGAGGTGACCTCGTTCATCTTGGAGAGGTGGTGGTGGTGGTTGTGGTGGTGGTGGTCCTGCAGCAGCGAGTAGTGGCCTGCGTGCGGACCGCCCTGCAGGAAGGAGCGCGCCTTCTCCGACGCGGCCAGGAGCGACTCGGCCGTGGCGGCCGCGGCGGCGGCGGCGGCGGCCGCGGCCGAGCCGGGCTGGGCTCCGTGGAGCGAGGCGGCCGCCTTGAGGTGCTCCGCCTCGCTCAGGTAGGGCAGCGGGAAGGCGTAGCGGTCCTTCTTCAGCAGGGACTTGGGCTTGCGGCGAGGCCGGTACTTGTAGTCGGGGTGCTCCTTCATGTGCAGCGCGCGCAGCCGCTTCGCCTCGTCGATGAAGGGCCTCTTCTCGGCCTCGGTCAGGAGCTTCCACTCGGCGCCGAGGCGCTTGGAGATCTCCGAGTTGTGCATCTTGGGGTTCTCCTGGGCCATCTTCCTCCGCTGCCCGCGCGACCACACCATGAAGGCGTTCATGGGCCGCTTCACGTGGTCCGCAGCTTTGGACATCCTGGCGCGGTTTCGAACGCCAACAGTTCCCCTCCGACCTGTTTGCTGCTGCTGCTGGCGATGGTGGTGGTGGTCCTGGTGGTGGTCCTGGTGGTGGTGGTGGTCCTGGTGGTGGTCGTGGTTCTCGCGGTGGTCTCAGTGTTCAGCGCAACTTTGTCGCTCAACTTTTGTAAGAAAACTTCAGCGCTCGCAGACAGCGGCACGAGCTGTGTGAATGGAGCGCGTTGCTACCCGCACGTATCCGCACGACAGCACGGCAAAGCTGCTCTCAGCCTCACGACAATACTGCGATTGTAGCTCACGGCGTCGACAAGAACCCGGAGTCGTCCTGCAACAATCTAACCCTTTAAAAAAATAAATGCGCATAACATCACTGCACGCGCGTGTGTCTCTGTGTGTGTCTCTGTGTGTGTGTCTCTGTCTGTGTGTGTGTCTCTGTCTGTGTGTGTGTGTCTGTGTGTGTGTGTCTGTGTGTGTGTCTCTGTCTGTGTGTGTGTCTCTGTGTGTGTGTGTGTGTCTGTCTGTGTCTGTGTGTCTGTCTGTGTGTGTCTCTGTGTGTGTGTCTCTGTGTGTGTGTGCCTTGCGGACTAGGCACTACGACTCGAACTCACGTGCGCGTGTGATACCACTACAATAACCGTAACCAATCATAGCCACTTTGCCAAAGTAATTCTCTCTCTCTCGCTTCTCGCTTCTACCGCTGTAAGAGAGACTCTGGCCTGCACGCCCGACTTGCCACTGCGCGTGCACCTACACTGGCACGCCGCAGACGAGCGCACGCATCGGGTGTGCGAGTGACACCCCCTCCCCCCGTCTCCCACCCACCTCCCCGCCCCCTCCACCCATCACAGAGGCGTCCACCAACCCCACCCACCCCCCCCACTGCGACCCACCGCTGATTGTCGAGCCGAGGCGCGGTTCGGGATTGGCGCCACGTGATTGGCTGACTCCTAATGAACATGGCCCCGCCCCCTTCATTAACGGGGTAGGGGGGCGGGGCTCGCGAGCGGCCGCCAGCCAATGGGGAGAGAGGCGCAGGTGCGAGGAGCACGTGTGTAAAGGTGAGTCAAGTGATGCAGTGTGTGGGGAGTGTGTGTGTGCGTGTGTGTTGTGTGTGGTGTGTGTGTGTGGGGGATGTGTGGTGTGTGTGTTGTGTGTGGGGTGTGTGTGTTGTGTGTGTGTGTGGTGTGTGTTGTGTGTGTGGTGTGTGTGGTGTGTGTGGGGTGTGTGTGTTGTGTGTGTGTGGTGTGTGTTGTGTGTGTGGTGTGTGTGGTGTGTGTGGTGTGTGTGGGGTGTGTGTGTTGTGTGTGTGGTGTGTGTTGTGTGTGTGGTGTGTGTGGTGTGTGTGGGGTGTGTGTTTGTTGTGTGTGTGTGGTGTGTGTGTTGTGTGTGTGGTGTGTGTGTGTGGTGTGTGTGGTGTGTGGTGTGTGTTGTGTGTGTGGTGTGTGGTGTGTGTGTTGTGTGTTGTGTGTGGTGTGTATGTGTGTGTTGTGTGTGTGGTGTGTGTGGTGTGTGTGGTGTGTGTGTGTGTGTGGGGTGTGTGTGTTGTGTGTGGGGTGTGTGTGGGGTGTGTGTGGGGTGTGTGTGGTGCGTGTGTGGTGCGTGTGTGTGTTGTGTGTGTGTGGTGTGCTGGGGTGTGTGTGGTGTGTGTGTGTTGTGTGTGGGGTGTGTGTGGGGTGTGTGTGTTGTGTGTGGGGTGTGTGTGTTGTGTGTGTGGTGTGTGTGTGTGGTGTGTGTGTTGTGTGTGTGGTGTGTGTGTGGTGTGTGTGGTGTGTGTGGTGTGTTGTGTGTGGGTTGTGTTGTGTGTGGGTTGTGTGTGTGTGGGTTGTGTGTGTGTGGTGTGTTGTGTGTGTGTGGTGTGTGTGTTGTGTGTGTGGTGTGTGTGGTGTGTGTTGTGTGTGTGTTGTGTAGTGTGTGTGGTGTGTGGTGTGTGTGGTGTGTGGTGTGTGTGTTGTGTGTGTGTGTTTTGTGCGTGTGTGTTGTGTGTGTGTGTTGTGTGTGTTGTGTGTGTGTGGTGTGTGTTGTGTGTGTTGTGTGTGTGTGTGTTGTGTGTGTGTTGTGTGTGTTGTGTGTGTGTGGTGTGTGTGTTGTGTGTGTGTGTTGTGTGTGTGTGCGTTGTGTATTGTGTGTATTACGTGTGTGTATGATTGTTTTTGCTCTATTTTTCGTGGAGTGTTAAACCGGTCACCATTTACTGGGCTCCGCGACTGGTTCGCTTTCTACCGGCCTGAGCGTCACACTCCACAGCAGAGGCTTTAGTGTTGGTGGTGTGTGGGGAGCGGTGGTGTAGCGGTTAGCGCGCTGCGCTATGGACCCGGCGACTCGAGTTCGATTCCAGCTCACGGCCAACACCGGTGACGATTATTTGAACCGATCCTGCGCCTCCCCGAGGTAGACTCAGCCTCAAATGGGTACCTGGTGCGGCGTGTAAAATCATCGCCACGAGGGAGACAAAGGTGCTGGCCACCCACCCCCTCGTGTACCGTGCCGGCCTTCATAGGTGCTCGCTAACAGCACTTGCCCCAACAGTCTATTAAGGCTATACGGGGGATCTTTATATTTGTCTTTATGTATGATGGCAATAGTAGTGTGTGGTTGTAATTGGGCTGTCGTTGATTTAAACACACACACACTCGATTATATTTGTGCTAACAAAAATCCACCGTGAAAACTGCCCAGTCACGAAATGTCTGTGAAAGTGTGAGTTCGATTCCCGGCTAACATCAGTGCCAGAACCGGAGCCAAGCCTCTCCTAGGTAGATTCAGCCTAAAATGGGAACCTGTAGTGCTTCGTCAGATGAATCAGCGCTGAAAGACCACGGCTCTTAGACCCTCGGTAGCGTGCCGGTCTCAATAGGTGCTCGCTAACAGCGCGAGCACCCGGAGTGAATAATAAATATATTTTAAATTCGCCAAATTATAATACGGACTAACTGCTTCAGTCGGTCAAACAACGCGGGCGAGGCGATGTTGGGGAGCGCCTATTAAAATCGGACTGACGAAGCCGATCGCCTTTGCCTCCACAGTGCTGACGATCACACACCGCGCCGTAGATTGAAGGCTCAGACGACACCCAACGCATTGGAGTGGAACTTCTGTGGTTTGGTTCAAGGCAGAGTGTTGACCACTACTGAACCACCGGCTCCAAGCATTCCTATAACGAAAATACAAAATCCCCCGTGTAGCTTAAACAAACTGTTGCGGCAAGTGCTGTTAGCGAGCACGATGGTGTGGGTGGCCAGCGCCACGCTCGGCCGCCTTTGTCTCCCTAGTGGCGATGCTTGCTACGCACCGCGCTAGGTACTCGTTTGAGGCTGAGTCGACCTAGGGGAGGCCCACGATCGGTTCAGAAAATCGTCACCGGTGTTGGCCGTGAGCGGAAATCGAACTCGGTTCGCTGGGTTTGTAGCGCAGCGTGGCGCAATGCGCTGAACGCTACACCACCGCTCCCCACACGCAGCAAGGCGGACAGAGACACAAACACAGAGACAAAGATCCCCCATATAGCCTGATCAGACTGTTGGGGCAAGTGCTGTTGTGAAGGCCGGCGCGGCACACGATGGGGTGGGTGACATCACCACGTCCGGCCGCCTTTGTCTCCCCACTGCCGATGTTTATACACAGAACTAGGTCCCCATCTTAATGCTGAGTCTACCTAAGGGAGGCCCAGCAGCAGGACCAGTTCTAATATCCGCCACTGTCATTGGTCGTGAGCGCGAATCGAACTCGGGTGGCCGGATCCGTAACGCTGAGTGCGACCCGCCACACCGCACACAGACACACGCACACACAAACACACGCACACACAGACACACGCACACACAGACACACGCACACACAGACACACACACACACAGACACACGCACACACAGACACACACACACACAGACACACACACAGACACACGCACACAGACACACGCACACACAGACACACGCACACAGACACACGCTCACACACACGCCGCGCCTATTAACCAAACATTCGATATTGTGTCTATGTGTGGGTGCATCCGCTACGACAGAGTAATGCACAGTAATGGCTCTGCGTGCAGTCGTTTATTACACGAAGTGGATAAAGAACGTGCAACATTAATCTACGCGTGTAATAGTGCTTCCCTCTGCTCAGTTTGTGAACCCTGATGTCTGCTGCCGTGCCTACACTACCGTGTAAGGGCGTGGGAGTGGGAGCGGTGGCGCAGCGGTTAGCGCACCGCGCTCCGAATCCGGACTGAGTTGGAGTCGCGCCCGCAAAAATGACATCCGCTGGCGAGAAATATTTTAAACGGGTTTTTGCCAACGATTATGGGCCCCTCCTAGGTCGACTCAGCCTTAAATCAGTACTTAGTGCGGCGTGTAAACATCTTCACTGGGGAGACAAAGGCGGCCGGGCGTGGTGCTGACCACACACCACCTCGTGTGCTGTTTATAGGTGCGACTCGCTAACAGCACTTGCCCCAACAGTCTGTTAGAGGCTATACGGAGTGTCTTTGTCTTTGGTTATAAATGTTTGCGTACATCATGTGTATTGTGCATCTGTGTACATGTGTGAGTAGTGACTGTGTGTAGAATGAGTTGATAGGCGTACACGTGAATGCAGTGTGCACACACACGTACACACGTGTGTGTGTGTACGTGTGTATGCCCATGCTGCATGTATATCTATGTACGGCTGTTTGCGTGCGTTCATGAACTCGCTGCGTACTGCACATCGCTCCGTTCGTTTTCGATTGGCAGCAACGCTGGTGGTGGTGGTGGGGGGGGGGGGCTCCTTCATCCAGCAGTGGATGGATCACGGCGGTGGACGACTCCGATGCCACGTGTCGCCGCGCGAGTCGTCCTCTCACGTGCAGGCGAACCCTCTGGAGCAGCCGTCAGCGGCGCAGCGAGCACGTGCGGCACAATCACACCGCGTGCTCGCGAGTAAGGGTATATATATATGTGTGTTTGTGTGTGTGTGTCTTTGTGTGTGTGTTTGTGTGTGAGTTTGTGTGTTTGTGTGTGTGTGTTTGTGTGTGTGTGTTTGTTTGTGTGAGTTTGTGTGTGTTTGTGTGTGTGTGTGTGTTTGTGTCTTTGTGTGTTTTTGTGTGTGTTTGTGTGTGTGTTTTTGTGTGTGTATTTGTGTGTGTGTGTGTTTGTTTGTGTGTGTTTGTGTGTGTGTTTATGTGTTAGTGTAGTGGTTAGCGAGCTGCGCTATGAACCTAGCGACACGGGTTCGATTCCCGCTCACGGCCAACACCAGTGACGATTATCTGAAGCGGTCCTGGGCCTCCCCTAGGTCGACTCAGCCTGACATGAGTACCTGGTGTGGTGTGTAAACATCGCCACTGGAGAGACAAAGGCGGTCGGGCGTGGTGCTCTCGCCACCCACCCCCTCGTGTACCGTTCCGGCCTTCATAGGTGCTCGCTAACAGCACTTGCCCCTACAGTCTGTTAAGGCTATACGGGGGATCTTTGTTTATGTGTGTGTGTGTTTGTGTGTGTGTTTGTGTGTGTTGTGTGTGTGTGTGTTTGTGTGTGTGTGTTTGTGGAGGAGGCTCGTGAAGGACGCTACTGGGCAGTTGGAGGCAGTCGCCCTCCAACAACAACGGAGGGCGGAGGAGCGACGCTCACAACAACGAGCGGAGCGCCGGGTGGCTAAAGCACAGCAAGTTGGCACAGTAGGGGGCACAGGTGGTGCATCAGCCAGTCATCTCGGTCATCTCAGTCAGTCGACCTGTGGCACCTGGGTCTGCCCCGTGACCTCCTGCCAGCGGGCGTTCGACACTTC